GGGGTATCTGAGTTAGCAGTGTGGGGGGAGAGGTCAGAGTTAGCTGTAGAGGTAGGGTAGGGGAGTTATAATTAGCTGGTAGGAGGCCTAACTAAAGACCATAAATATCTTCCTGACATCACAAATGGATTATAACATGGGATGTCTGCCTGGCACTGGAAACAATGCCTCTGTAAAAATGAAAGCGTCCCCAACGGGGAAACGCCCACCGGACGCCGTCCCTGCCCGTCCTTAGCGGGAAACGGCGTCCTGACCGTCCCAACACAGTTGGCAGCGTCCACAAACTTCCCCCGGACGGCCGTCCCAGAAATTAGTGACGGCACCCCGTCGCTCCCAGCCCGTCCTGAACCGTCCGGCATGGAAACGGGCGTTTATTAATTAATTGACAACAGCAGCGGCCGGCACTTACGTGCTTCACGATGTTTCCCAGGGGGGTTTAGGTTTCTAACGCACATGCGCCAAGTTTGAAGGCGCTAGATTTAACGGTTACCGGGCTGGCTGGGGAACACGTCTGCTGCTCAGTCGACCTCAGTTTTTTCCATTTTGTTGGATTGTATGCAATTTTGGAGAATGGATTTCAGTCATACAAGCAGCTATATCTATCGTCGACGCTGCACACAAGTTTTGGCATCTCCAGCGACTGACTAAAATGTCAAACGAGGTGTTCCAAGAATGTAATTTGTAAACAGCGGCCGCCAGAATTTTGGGTGTACCGAAGCAATCTGTCTCGGCGATTCTTTTTCGAGGATACTCGGTAAGTGGACAAGAATTTCTCGTTGTCAAATGTTACAAGGGAACTGTGTAAGACAGTGTTACAATTGCCACAACAGAACATTAGTTAATTCCAGGGGCTGCTGAGAAGTTTGCGGTTATATTTTGTTCGTCCTCCCCGAGACTGCCCTCCCCACATAAATTTTGTCACATGCACCGCCGGGCTGATAAAGGAAATTCAATGTTTTAACGCCGAAAAATAAAAAGACGCACACGAACGATTTGTAGAATAATTGTGTACAATACCTGCTGTTTTAATAAAGAACGATGATGCCGTAAAAATGTACACGTCATACACAAAAAGAGACTCGAAGTCCCGCACACAAGTTCGGCCCGGGAAAGTCCTGACGTCACGGCTGCCATCTACAAACGCAACCGTCAATGTTGTTTTCATACAAAATCTTCCAAGACGCACAAAAACTACGTAGAATATAATTATATATTATACGAATTTTAATGAGGAAAGACGATTATGTTAAAATGTCCACTTAGGCAATGTTTGCACTTGTAATTTTCTTACACCCTCGCCCTTTATGTTTGTGTGCGCTCACAATGGTGGATTACTGTTGTCGCATGTTCGCCGCTGTTTACAGCCGCTGTTCAACATTTTGTTACTCTATATTCTTGAAGAAAATCTTTTTCGTTTGATCATGGTATTTTGTATTTACTTCACTTGTATTTACTCGTTACGGCAACTGTTACAATGTGGGCGGCCGTTACTTGTTGATTCGATGCCAATCTGCAATTGTTTTCAATATTACTATATCGGCACCTTCTGTCACGGGACGCCGTCGGAAACGCCGTCCCAACCCCGTCGGAGCGGCAAGATCAAAATGTCCACAATGACTGAGCACCCCCCAGAGACCCGTCCGGCCGTCGGATACGCCGTTTGGACCCCACCTGTGCCGTCCCAAGCGTCGCCCGGCCGCCCAGGAGCCCGTCCGGGAGCCCGTCCGGCAGCGCGTCCAGCAGCCCGCCCGGTAGCCCGTCGGAAACGGCGCCCAAACGCCTCAAGAAACGCCCGGACGCCGTCGAAAACGGACATTTCTGACGGCGTCCCAGGCGTTTGAGGCGTCCTGGCCCGTTTCTGGCCTTTGTCCAGGCGTCCGTAGTCCCCGTTTACCGCCAGGGACGGGCAGCCGTCCCAAACAAACGGCCACCACAAACGGGCGTTTAAACGGGCGTTTCTCCGTCGGGGACGCTTTCATTTTTACAGAGGATGACAGCAGGCGACGAGGAGTGATTTGTACATGAACTGCCTTCAGAAGTTTGTAGTGACGTATCTGTATTTATATCATACCCGGGCCGCGATGACCGTCCGGAACCCGTTATCGAACGCTTCCATGGCTTTCATAAAACGATTCTAACGCGTTTCGCCCTACCCGCTTGTGTCTCTTTCGAAAATTTGAATACAGAATCCGGACGTTGGAATTTATGTTGTTGCATTTTAGGGTTTAGTGGCACCAGCCTGTATAACCGCCCTTCAGCGCAACACACCAGCTGTACTTTGGCTGTTTGGGTAGGGAAGTTAGCTGTAGGGTATAGAAGTTTGAAGTGACGTACCGTGGCTGTAGGGGAGGGGGGTTAGTTGTTGGGTAGGAGAAGTTTGTATTGACGTACCGTTGCAGATCTTCTCTCGTCGAAGCGGACTTGCTTCTGCAGCTCCTTGTAGAGTTCCCCCCGCGGCGCGTACTCCAGGATCAGGTAAACCCGCGTGTCGTCGTAGAAATAACCGTACAGACGCAGGATGTGGGGATGTCTGGGGGGAAACATTTCAGCACACAACTTTGTAAAACACTACTGAGGGGAAACATAATGTCAGCACACAACTTTGTAAAACACTACTGAGGGAAAAAACCTTGTAAAACAATACTGAGAGAAAACATAATGTCAGCACACAACTTTGTAACACTCCTGAGGGGAAACACACAACTATGTAAAATTACTCCAAGGATCGTTGGGTTGGCAGAGACATATCCACTTACCATGCATCCATGGACAAGAGTGAGAGACCCTCACCCTGAGGTGGGTTAGGTTAGTAAAGCTAAAAGTGAAAGTTTCTCACCTGAGGTGGGTTAGTAAAAATGAGTTTCTCACCTGAGGTGGGTTAGGTTAGTGAAAGTTTCTCACCTGAGGTGGGTTAGGTTAGTAAAAGTGAACGTTTCTCACCTGAGGTGGGACTGGATCTCGATCTCGCGCCGCAGCTGATGCTCCACACCAGCCTTCATCAGCTGAGACTTAAACAGCACCTGCAGGTGGGAAGCAGATGTCGGGGTTTGATCACATCACAAAACTCAGGACTTCAGCAAAAGTTTTGCTAAGGGTTAGGCCACATCGACTTCATTTTATGGATGACATCCTCTAAAGACCCCCAAATTAGTGCACGTGGGCGAATAAAATAAAATTCCGGCCAAAAATAAAAATGCTACTAAACCGTAACAAGCCGGCACATGCTGGCTTTATGCGGAATTTATAAATCGGCACTGTACGTGTGTAACTCGCCTTCGGTAGCCTGGGTACCATTCTCCAGAGTTACCATAGGCTTAGTATTATCGCTAACTACCATGGACTACCCAGCACTAGAGCCATGTCAGAGCCTCGGAGGACGTGATCTTTTTTTTAAACAGGCGAAAATCAGTGCGCGCGCGGATGTCATCCATAAAATTAAGTCGGTGTGGCCTTAGTCACGTTAGTCGTGTTTGCCTGCCATGTTGCATGGTTGGTTTAAAGCTGACTAGGCTAGCTGTTCAAGTAAGGCTAACGCAAATATGAGGGTGAATTTGGGCTTCCTGTTTTACTCGTGCTTTACTTTGAGACGCAAGTAAAAAAACTACCAACGGAAACAAAAAAATTACCAACAGAAACAAGCATTACCATCAACACTACAATAGTAACTAGTATAGTAAAAGGTTGAACTTTATTCCAACACACAATTGTACAGTTCTGCGTAATTGTGTGTTGGAATAAAGTTCAACCTTTTAGTACTTTTACTATGATTACTACCAACACAGATGAACTTTCATGATAATAGTAACTAGTCTTACCTTCAACGCTACGATAAACTTGGAGTTTTTCTCTCTTGCCAAATAAACATTCCCAAATTTCCCCTTCCCTAGCGGCCGGCCGATGTCAAAGTCTTCCAACTTCCAGCTTTTCATTTTCCTGAAAATAATCATAAAAAAAAAACATCTTCACTTTGTACACAAACATACACATACACACAGAAGTCAGATTAACCGTTAATGTTACTGTAGCTTACCGTTACAAGTGCAGCCAATGTGAAATAGCAGATGTATTCTGCATATTCTGAAATGTTTTTTTCTGGCCCTACCCAATTTGCATTTTAACCGTCTGGTGGCTTTGATTGCAGGCTGACAGTACAAGACACAAGGAGAAAGAAAACTACATACTGTGAGGTCATATGATTGCAAGCATGGCAACTTGAAGTAAATCAGACAAAGGGTCCTAGTTTGTTCTAACTGGGTGTTTGGCTGTACCTGTCCCCGTACCCCCCCATCCCAGCCCCCACCCCGTACCTGTCCCCGGCGGTGCCCGCCAAGCCTGCAGGCTGCTGCGTTGCTGCAGGTTTCTGTCCTGTGCTGCTGTTGGACGGCTGGGCCTTCAGCACACGCTGTGCTCCCTGCGACGCCTCGGACTTCGATTTCACCAGGATCTAAACAGGACATAAAAGATCAGCCTTTATATAACAGAGAAGACAGAACAGCACGACACATTACACAACTCAGCTTTTACAACTGACACCTCAGCCCTCGCACAACACAATACAGTACAAAACATTACACTTCAATGAAACTATTCACAAGTTTTAAACAGAACATTACATCTCATATTTTACACAACACAACACAATACAGCATTACATCATCATCATCTGGCGGCTGCGTTACAATATAGCATTACACCTCAGCTTTACACAACTTGGTATGATTTCTGCTATTAAATAACAACACAGCAACACTTATTTAGCTTTTACACAATACAAGTGTTACACCCCAGCTTATAGTACAAATTTACACAGCACCTTATACCCAGGTTTTCAGAACACAGTGCACCTTACAGTAACACCCCGAGTTTTGCGTATCTGGTTAAAAACTGACCCGAACATTTGGAGCGTCCTTGTTCTCCTTCTCCAGTAGTGCCATCGGATTCTTAATCTGGAACAGAAACAGAGAATTTCACATCAATTCAAAGAAACTCCGGGCTACACAAGATTCCCAAATAAACAATCACATTATTAGCAGTGGCTTCCAAGTCGTGGGGCACTCCATTCAGCTGATTAAACTTTTGCCAGGCTGATACTGGCTCCCATGTAACTGACAGGCAGCACGCCCAATATTTTGGTGTCTCTGGCTTCCCAATGCACTCACCAGCCGGGCCAGGGGATGAAACCCTGAACAAATGCCCAGATTAACCCCACCAGAGCCTCAGAGTGCATAACTCTATAGAAATCCTTGGCAATCTGCGGCCATATTGAATTTTACCGCGTCCGGAATGAACCACAAAACAGGCCTGAACTAAATTTTAAGACAGTTTTTCTCAACGCATCAACGTTCAAGGTGTGTGCCATGTAAGAAAAAATGATGTAAATTTTACAGGGGACTGGAGATGAGTGGTGCTGCTCTGAGGAAAAACTCACCATCTTGGCTGGCTGACTGGAACACACAGAACCTCCAAAATTGCACTGGACTCCTGACGGAAGACTTCAGATGATGGCAGCTGCAGAGTAGAGCAGGTTCTGCAAACTTGGGGATATATGGGAAAGATGACATGTAAGTTATAACAACTTAATACAAGGTTTCTTTGTTGATAAAGGTTAAATATCCAGGCATTGAGATAAAAAAAAGATACACAAGCACATGTAACATGACTAACAAGAAATGTTAGTCAGAATATCACATTTACCAGTACTATTTCCTTTGGGGAAGGCCCACGATAAACCACATGATTAAGCCAGGGTTTCAGGCCTCCCCGGCATTTTTATGATATTGTTCATTTTCTATTTTTCATCATACAAACAAAACAACTGGATCAATCAATCAATCAATCAATCAAATGGTTTATTTGTAAAAACAAAACCTTGTAGCCATCAGCTAAATTGTGTCTTGCTGTACAATTTTGATTTTTGACATGTCTGGCATAACACACTAAAATTACTAGTTACTCAATAAAATCCATATCATTATACATTGACATACTTAAAAACAACAGATACAATTTTAACATTAAAACTAACAATTACAAACATATATTAAGTACTTACACAAAAATATACAAAATAACTGAGACTAGAGGACAGACTAACCACCCTAGAAATATGATACACATTATTTGGAGGAATTGTTCAATATGCGAACCAGGTATGGTACTGGAGAGTTCTTATATCTGTTGGTTCTGTACTTAGTAGTTTTTAGCTTTTCAGAGTTCCTTGTGTGTCTTCCTGAGAGTTCACCCACCTTAGGAGGTAGGAGATCAGGGTTCAGTTTTGTAGCAAATTTAAGACATAGGTCCTCTCTTCTGTCCTTCAATGACTTGAGTCCTGTCAACTGCAGGGCTGCGTCGTAGGAGCTGTATTGTCCTTTAAGGATTGTGCGCAGAGCTCTCTTCTGAACATGCTCCAATCTTGTGATCTGTTTGCACGTGAGTCCAGGATTCCATACAGGAACACAGTATTCAACCACAGGTCTGACAAATGACGTATAGACCAGAAGTAAGTCCTGCACTGATACATGGAAGTTTCCCAATCGCCTTAACAGAAAAAGACGGCTGTTTGCTTTTGAAAGCATCCCTGATACATTAGCTTCCCATTTCAGATCAGACTGTAGTAATACCCCCAACAGGCGTGCGACAGCCACAATCTCCAGGTTTAAGGTCTCCAAGGATAACTTTTGAAATTATCTATCCAGTTGCTTTCTTTTGTTATTACTCTAACAGTTACTCTACAAGCTTCATCTATAATAGTTCAGAAGATGCTCATAAATTTCTACTACACAGGCCAGCTCCTCTGCTCCAGGGCCTTCATGCCCCAAAGAAAATTCACCAGACTCGCCTTGAGTAAGACCCTGAGTGACTGAGCCTGGCACGCCGGCTAACTCGGGGTAGGGACATCGGGTGCTACGACTATGACTAGTATGAGAGAGGGGAGAGAGTGAGTCTGGCATTCAGGCTTGGCGAGGACCTTGGCGGCTGTTGGCGTCATACACTCAGTCTCACTATCCAGTAAATTTGATTGATCTTCAAAAAAGGACTAAAAAGCCATACGCGTATATGACAAGAACTAAGCCAATCATTTACACCATTATGTGGGAGCGAAACGATTTTTAATCAAAATATATATGACCTCTGTGCAACGGCAAAAAACATGGCCGACGGGTTTTATGCAAAGTTGTATCAGTAATATGTAGTAGTTTCCTCATGTTATCTGACTAGTACGGAACAGAAATTACGCACAGTAGAAGTAGTAAACTATACATCTTTTAGGCTCGATGGGTGGTTCAAATTATGTTAGACTGAACGCCCTAGATTACATAGGAAAAGGCGCACAAATTATTTTCGTTCTCGGCGAGGGTCTTCAGCATATCACACCAAAATTTTAGGCAAAAGGTTACGGGAAAGGGAGAATTATCCAGAGCCGTAGAGACCAGAACGAACACAAATATAAAATCTAAGCCACTCAACACTTACCTGTGGTCAAAATACTTCCACTTCAGCGATAACGTCGATATTCTTTCCACGAAAACAGCAGCTCACAGTTCTGTAGTCCTTCTCCTTTGGTTATGTGGCTATCCAATATGGCGCCTACTGGGTTTAAATTTGAAAACTAGTACCTTAGCGCTGATTGGTCAATAATACGTAATTACTTACATGGTATTGGTCCCATTTGTTTTCAGCGCCGAGCTATGATTGGTTGATTTTGGAACATACCAAATTGGCAGCGGGGGATTTGTAAATTTTTTATATCATAATTTTGAAAGTGAAACGAAATGTGCTGACATACAATGATACAAATACATGTATTACGAATATTTCTTATGAACGTATGGAATTACAGAACAAAATATCTGCTGTGCCAAAGCTTTAAAATGCGTTTTTCTCCTACGCTTTATTTGATTCCCCGCAATATGTAATGGCAAATGCCACAGAACAAATACACCTGTCGCTAGAGGTCGCTGCTGAGCCGTCTTCCTTGTGTATGGCTGCAGTTTAGCCTGGGTACCAGACCCACAGTAGCCTCTACAGGCACCGCGGATTGCAGGAAAATAGTAGAAATTGGCTGAAATAAAGGAATGATATACCAGAGGAGGTATCCGGCCAGTGGGTGGCGAATTGGATCTTCTCTGGCTGGCTACCTCCCCTGGTATATTATTCCTTTATTTCGGCCTATTTCTACTATTCTTCCAGCGATCCGCAGTGCCCGGCCTAGACGCTAGACCCACAGCACCCTAGGCTCAAAGTTATCCAGTGTGCAAGATAACATGGGCCTAGTGTGCTGTTGGTCTGGCATGCAGGTTAGAATAGTCTCCACCAGGGGCCAATGGGTTGGTGGAAAAACTAGTGCTATAATTAAGGGTTAATGTCCCGCCCCGAGGTGAATATGGTGTGATAAAGCTTTGTCAGTTGCTATAACCCGAATAAAGGCACCGAATGAGCGCAGCGAATGAGGTGGCTTTATGAGGTGGTTATATGGAATGTAGGGGAGGAATGTGGAATGTAGCCTTCTGATTGGTCAACGTCACCTGCCTATATGATAATTAAGGGTTAATGACCCGCCCCGAGGTGAATATGGTGTGATAAAGCCTTGTCAGTTTCTATAACCACAGAATAAAGCCACCAAGTGAGCGCAGCGAACGAGGTGTCTTTATGAGGTGGTTATAGCAACTGACAACTTGAAGGCTTTATCACACCATATTCACCGAGAAAGGGCGGGACATTAACGCTATTATCATATAGCTTACACGATAGCCTATCCAAACTGATGCAGTAAGTGACACAATGCACATGCTGAATAGAACATAGAACATAGTTACACCTGAGGTCACTGGGTAGAGTTCACATTAACTGGGTCACAGGCAGGGAACAGGTGTTCATTGGAACACAACTTAAGTTATTTTGGGATTTTTTAGAACTAGAGCCCTGTTCTATTGGGTCACCTGAGGTCATATGCGGGTGATTATTTGGGTTGTTTAATGTATGGATTGGGATGAATAAATACCCGATTTTGACTCTATTTGTGACATTACGGCGTCATAAGGAACGTGGAATGGAGCCTTCTGATTGGTCAACGTCACCTGGCTATATGATAATATCATATATGCCAGAGGAGATAGCGGATCCAACAATTGATTTGTTATTATGTTTATAACTTTAGATTTAACTGGTGCAAATTTTTTTCATACATGTATTATTATTAACGTATGTATTTAATTGTCTTACGTTATGAATTAATTAGTTAACTAGTTAGTCCGCTTTGCTAACTTCATTATCTTGTGTATCTAACTTGATTTATTTTCGTATTACTTTTGTTTCATACATGTTGTCAAAAGTAATTTAGGAACAAATAATAATGAGAGAGAGAGTGAAGGGCATTGTCATAAGGTTTTACATGTACCAGAAGTCTGGGAAAGATTAATTCTTTTAGATTCCTTTTATTGCTTTTCATGGATCAACTTAAAGTTACATGATATTGTGCAGACTGTATTACATGCACATGTATGTTTGGCAATAAACATATTGTACATACCCCCCTCCTCATTCATGATTCAGCTATGCTTATGAGTATGAACAAGGAATATTCAATTTTCCCCTTCTTTCATTAGAGACATGAAAATACAGATCTAGAATTTCTGTTCTACAAACAAAACGCCCTGAAACCCTGCAACATCAAGGTCGGGCAGATGACCTTTGACACATGGCTGATGCAATCCCAACACAAGAAAGACTTTGAAAGGTCCTGTTGTTTACACATCAACCCAGGATGTTTACATAAAGGACAAGGTCCACATGACTGGGTAAAAATTACAAACAGCTTCTGGAAGCTTCTATATTCTCACTGCCATGACTGAGCACAACATTGCTGGCCCAGCCGGCCTCTCATACTTCTGATCATTGGCATACAGGAGTTCTGGGGCATGCCTAGCCTCTACCAGGCTTCAGGAGGCGGCTGGAAAGAGTAGAAATTGGCCAAATAGAGAGATAGCATGCCGGGGAGTTGGCCTGCTGGAGAGTACAGTTGTGCGGCAAACTTTTCTCCCTCAGCAGACCAAGTCCCGGCATGCTATCTCTCTATATGGCCAATTTCTGCTCTTTCCAACCGCCTTCCGAAGCCTGGTACAGGCTAGAGCATGCCTTCTAACACAAAGGAATAGTAACTGTTGAAACAACTTAACACAAGAACATAAACAGATTGGCATATTGAAGTTTGGTCCTTTCTAATTACAGAGGCTTTCTTCGCTTCCTATGTGAACAGAACAAATAAGAAAACCTCTTAAAGAACTTTTTTTTTTAACGGTGTCACTCAATGCAAGGCCAATTATTTTTGGCCACTTCTAGGCATAGAGCTAGAGGTACTTAAGTGAGTATAATGTAGTTATGTCAGGAGATGGCGGTGAAGCTTTGTGGATTGTGACCAAAGTTTGACATTCACACTTCTCTTTTCCTTGACAAAGCAATATGACTGCTTTACCTTTTCCCTTTCACTTCTTTTCATTACGAATGAGAAATGTTTTATTACTACTCTTTCTCAGAATGGAAATGATACACATCTTTATAATACTTAACAGAAAACATACAGCAACAGAGATTCACATCTGCCCATCCTATACAACAGGTTTTTTTCTAGGAAAATTTAGCGTGAGGGAGCAGATCGCAAGCATGGCAAGAGAGTTAGTGAGCGAGGGGGTGTTTTTTTTTATGATAGTAACACAGTTTGTAATGCTAGAATGCATTGTTGTATCATTTTTACATCTTTACTGGAAAAAGATTATTTTGAGAAAGACTATATGTTGTGTATGTAGCCACTTAGGGTTCAAATTATCCGAAAATTGATATGAGGGAGCAGCTCCCTTATTCCCCTGTTTAGAAAAAACCCTGCTACACAATATGGGTAATTTCAATTTGCTGCCATTGCTTATTGCTTACATACCGGATAGTTATTAATTATGTACATCTATGATACAGGCCCTCATCTGAGCATGCCCACGTTGCGCAGGTAGCGCACAACAAAAGGCACGCAGGTGAGAGTGATTCCGATGCGGACAGGTGCGAAGACTTTGTGCACGGCGTACGCGATGACAAACGTGCTCGCTCCCGTCGCCACACCTGACTCAGCGATCGCCTTCCCGACGCCAAGCTTGTGCAGCAAGGCCACCATGTCTAGTCCACTGCAGAAACACACACAAAACAGCAGTCAGTGTTGTACAAAAATGGTTGGAACATTTACTGTTTCTAGTACCATCCAGATCGATAGAAAACATAAATATTAGAATGAAAGATTACTTGTGTTAGTAGTTAGCAGTCAAATACATATCAGTTTGTTTACCTTGGTGAAGAAAGGAAATATTCCATGTGTTAATTGTGAATACTTATTACATTACTAAAGAAAAATTCTTATTAATACAGACAACCTCAACATGCAGAATGCTTTGTCCACAGACACACCTACACACAGATTCACCCAGACTTAGCCTGGTTACCAAACCTATTATACCTCCCGAGTCCTACATCCTATTTGCGGAGAGGATGTAGGACTCGGGAGCTATAATATAGGTTTGGTAACCAGGCTAACCAGACTAACCCTCAGTCAAACATCAGGGTTGCTACAGGGCAGAAGTGTGAAGGCACTGACTACAGGAACATCGGGGCTGTTAGCAGGTAGGGTGAGAGGAGGGTGACAGTTCACAGTTCACCGGAGTAGCTTCAACTTCAACAATGGCCCCTCAGGAAAGGTTCCGACCCCAGGGGTGTTATCAGGAATAGTGCTGCCAGGCAAGTGGAGGTGCAGAGAAGTGTGACAGCAAAATGAAGGGAAGAAATGAAGGAGTGAAGAAAGAGTAAGAAGTTTGGTCACCTGGACACGGCGAGGTGATGTGTGTGGGTTACTACAGGCAGATAGAGGTGAGAGAATAAGGGAAGAAATGAAGGAGCGAAGGAAGTTTGGTCACCTGGATACAGCGAGGTGATGTGTGTGGGTTACTACAGGCAGATAGAGGTGAGAGAATAAGGGAAGAAATGAAGGAGCGAAGGAAGTTTGGTCACCTGGACACAGCGAGGTGATGTGTGTGGGTTACTACAGGCAGATAGAGGTGAGAGAATAAGGGAAGAAATGAAGGAGCGAAGGAAGTTTGGTCACCTGGACACAGCGAGGTAGAAGCCGCCCAGTGACAGCAGCGAGATGCCGACATGAAACACGACGACCGTCGCTCCGTAGTCCCGGACCGCTCGTTTCAACCGCTCCCGCTGGCTGGGGGGCTTCCCGGTCTGGTCAGCAGGGGCTGCTGCGGAGAGGTGCCTGCGAATGTGGGGTTTCCCTGCCTGACTATCAGGGGCAGACGTACAAAGGCAGCGAGGAAAGCTGAAGCTGTGTGAGGATGTGTGGAACCTGCGACTCTGGGGGCTGAACACTCCACTCAACACACCTGCGTTACAAACACACAACAAACACACCTGTATCACTCACATGCAACAAACACAGCTGCATCACAAACATGCTTCTGTGTGTGTTATTAAGGCTATTGTACAGGTGTGTGTTACGATGCATACAGGTGTGTGTACAGTCAGGTTTGTGTACAGATGTGTGTACAGGTAAGTGTACAGGTGTGAACAGGTGTGTACAGGTGTGTGTACAGGTGTGTGTACAGGTGCCTTACCAGCTGTCCTGCAGGTGTAGCTCTGCTGTACATCTTGTGCAGTTGTATTATTGTAAACAGGTGTGTGTACAGGTAAGTGTACAGGTGTGAACAGGTGAGTGTACAGGTGTGTGTACAGATGTGTGTACAGGTGCCTTACCAGCTGTCCTGCAGCTGTAGCTTTGCTGTACCCCCTGACAGCTGCTGTTGCTGACAGGAGTGAAC